AGGGCACGGACACGGCCGCCCAGCACTCCCGACGACTGGGTGGTGACGCGTTGTGGGAACCACCCGCACCCCGTGCGACTCAGCCAGACCATTGCCAATAGCCCTTCGGAGCAGCGTTTCTCAGCGCTGAAGACGGGCAGGCCGCGCACCTCCCAGAATCCATTGCTGGCTGGGGAATTCTGGGAGGCGAGGTCCGCATGCCTTCAAGGGCCGAGGCAGAGACACGCTGCGCTGGAGGTCATCGACGCGTCTGCGGAAGAGCCCCGAGGCTGGATCGGGCCCGAGGCCGTCTGGTCCAGCTGCTGCATCACGGCCGGCCGGCTGGGCTGGGGCCAGAGCCCGTCCCCCCTCCCAGCAGCCGGGATTTCAGGGCTGCCTCCCCTCTCCCAAGGTGGCCTTTCCCGGCTGTCCTGGACTAACATTCCCAACATTCGTTGTGTGACACCCCCCAAGGGTGGGTTTGCACAAGCGCTGAACCCTAAGCTCGGACTGACTGATGCCTCACGATGGCTGCTGGGCCCAAGCAAACTGAGCTTCGGCTCGAGGCGCCCTGCTTCACCCAGCCGGCCAAGGCAGCAGCTCAGCTCCCACAGGAGGGTGAACGGCAGACGACCCCCCTCCATCTGGGTCTCGTCTAGCGTGCGGTGAACCCGGACGGTCAGTGTGCGGCAGCTGGGCACAAGGGATGCAAGGCCTCTGCATCTGGCGGGGGGGCAGAGACACTCCAGAACGGTCAGTCGATCCTCACAATTGCCCAGGGCCTCGGCTGGCTTTGGCACAACGTTCCTTGCCCGGCGTCAGGCCGGACCACGTGCCAAAAGCAGACCAGCTTCTTCGCGGCCCCAGCCGCTTTGCCATTCACCCGCCAGGGAGAGGCACGAGCCAGCCATCCCCAGGGGAAACTGAGGCTCATCCCGAAGAGGAGCGGGAGCAGCAAGGGGCGACTGCTTTGCCTGTCCACTCATTAAGAGACTTTGCATCCTGCCTTCGTCTAAGGAGGCAGAGCCACAGGCCATGATATGCAGGTATGGTAGGTGATGTCTCAAGCCAGGATTAGAAAATCAGGAGGAGTCTGAGAGCAAACAAATTTTATTGAAAGGCAACTGTTTTGGTGAGTTCCGTAACAGGTATTAGTCGGACAAGGCCCTCCCAGACTCCCCCTGATTTTCTGCCACCGCGGTCTGACCTGCCTCTGCTACATCATCTACAGCCAGGGCTAGGATGGGCAGGGGGTCTCTCCCGAGGGGCCGCAGAGCTGCGGGTGAGCCACTTCCGCCTGCCTCTTGGGAGATGCTGGGCAGCCTGCTCTCTTTTGCCTCCAGCTCCCCCAGGACCTCGGATGCCCCGTCCTTCACCCTCTTGCAGGGGCAAGGGGTCTCCTGCCAGCCTGATCCCCTTCCCCTGCATGGGCAGCGCCATTTCCACACTCAGTGCAGCCATTGGCCCGTCTGCTGGGAATCGCCGTCCAAGTGGCAATGCCGGCCCACCAGGCCCAGGGGCTCAACAGGCCTGGCTCATCTAAGGCTTTAGCCCGAAGGAAGGGCAGACCAAGCTCTGCCCAGCCCAACTAGGAAGCGGCCAAGGGGGAAAGCGGAGGGCAGAGCAATGGGATCGGGGATGGGCTCCTCCCACCCACCCACTGCTGCCGGTGCCCTGGCAGACGCTGGGCAGCGGCCAGATGGGGGGATCAGGAGGACACCTCCATTTTCAGCCCCCTGGAACATGCGGTGCTGCCTCTTCTTCCTGAAAGGGGGCAGGGGAGGGGATGCTGGGGCTGGCAGCACTTCGCGTTGCTTTGCATGCACAGAGTGTTTTTCAGTCACCAGTGTGCCCCCCACCCACCCCCCCAAGCATATGAGATCTTCTAGGCCCGGAGGCAAAAGGGAGGGGCAGGAACAGAGCAAACCCAGTTCCTCTCCTGCTAAAAACTGCACAGCTCAGGGAGGCCCCTGTCCCACTTCCCCGGGGCTCCCGGGTGGGCTCCCAAAGGGGTTGGAGGAGGCAGCCCGGCTGCTCCCCCCCAAGCCCCCCCCCCCCCGCCGCCCTCCTCCTGTGAAGAGCCTCTCCTCCAGTCCAGCCGGATTTTGCCTTTCCTCTT